TTTAGGATTTAGGGTTTAGGGCGCTCGGTTCAGGGTGTAGGGGGCCCTCGTCGTGCTCGGAATTTCTTCGGGATTAGAGAGTGGATCACTCTTTCTACTTGGGGCTTGAGGGCGTATAGAAGGGGACCCTCGTTTTGAGGACTATCCGACTGAACTAATCCCTTAGGGACCCTAGAATCCTAGAAAACATAGAAAGCACCCTGCCTCTGCACACCCGTTCCATCCATGTCCTTGGACATTCTACACGCTGTTCCCATGTTCATGACTCATCCTCGTCTTGCTGTCTCAGTTGAAATAAAGGCTTCCAAGCATCACTTTCCCGCCCATACCATCCCTTCACGTGTCTTGATATCCAGTCATCTTGCAGCACAGCATAGCCTGGAATCGAGTAGGAATGGCCCTTAGCTTCACACATGTACAGGCACAGCAGGTGCTCAGCAGAGGCAGCAAAGACAAACCAGAATTCTTGCAGCTGGCAGGCTTTCAGAGTCAAGTTCAACCGGCTGACTTGTTCCAGCAAATTTTGTGGACCGTAGAACCTGGGCTAGGCTCAGAAGGCTTCAGGGATAATACCATCTCTACAGGGGGAAGCGATGCACCTATCCCATCTTGACTCAAAGACACTATGAGCAGGATTACATAACTACATTCCTCGCAAAGGTTCCCCCTGGGTTACATCCAATATTACGTGTCATCCCATGCTGCAGACTAGCAAGCAAAGCACCAAAGCTACACTCCTTTGCTACGCTCCTTGTGCTGGAGTGCAGAGTCCGCCATCCACGCCTTTCACCGGCCGCGGCCAGATTTGTGAAATCTACGAAGGTCGTCCAGTCTATGCGACCAGCACCTCGGAAGGCATCTAGACATGGAGGGGTTTCCCAAAATTAGGGATGCCTTGTTGGGGGTCCCTGTAATAAGGGTTACTGCTCAGTATTTTGGGGTCTTCCCCTTATTGAAGTAAATTTGGGAGGGTGTCTCCACGCCACAAGTCACCCGTCCCTTTGTTGGAAAGATCAATGCTGCAACTGCTTCAGTACAAGCGGGGCCTCATGTTTCATGGGCGATGCTTAAATTGGGTTGCTGTTAAGGAACTCAAATTAACTTACCTTAGTGGGTATATGTAGTAATAAGTATACTTTCCCCAATATAGTAACTTCAACAAGTAGTCCCTAAACCCTGTTTTGCAGGAGGCTTCTCGTCCCTAAACCCAAAACCCTTAACCGTCTGTTGCAGCTTGTCCAATCTCAGAAACCAAGGCACACTTCGGCCAGAAGTTGTGACATTCCGGCAACCCTACCATCAGCTCCTGGTGAGGAACTAGGGGCAGGGAAGTGCTATGGCTTCAGGGTTTAGGGTTCAGGGTTGAGCAAGTTTGACCATTACCACCACAAAGAAAGAGAGGAATCTCCCAACATAAGCTCGCATTATCAAGCCGGTATAACGCAGTATGCAACAAGTGCACCAACTGTCTTGCTGTTTTTCAACATGGAGTTTGATCGCAGACTCTTCTGCCGCCCCACACTGTTTAGAGCTTTTGCTACTGTACTTTGATTCCAACCCACCTGAGTAGAGCGAAAAACGGCCCGGCTTCTCTTTTAGGCATCCGCCTTGCCGGTGCTAAAGGGAGCAGGGGAGTGAATGTAGATACGTAAAATATGCAAACCCTGGTGATCCTCTCCACCACTAAAACCCTAAAACCAAAACAGTAGTTTCCATGTTCTTTTCCATTATCTCTATATAGCCCGTATATAACCCCCAAAATAGCCACCTTAATTACCAGCAACTCAAGGAAGTGGGGACTCCAAAGCCTTGCCCGCCACTGGTAAGACTCAACGCGCACCGCATCTCAGCGGGCTCTATCGATGAAAGAACTAGTGCTGGCAAAGTCAGCAAGTCTCAAGCACTGCCTATAATCCCCTTTAAGTAGATAGAATATAGCCTGGTGTATATTATAACAAGACTCCCATATACCCCATATTCTATCTACTCAAGGGGGACTATATGTACTTGTAGCCTTACCCTCTACAGTGGGCGGTCATGTGGGATCGGCGGCACGAATATGCCATCATTGTCCCCGTCGACGCTGAGGCTGTGGGTCAGTCCCTGCGCAAGGCGTGCAGGACTCACACCTTCTTCTCCAAGAGTAACATTACCAGTAGTTAGCGATGTCTGGTAATAACATTACTGACAGATATCAACAATAACCATCATTTTCATCGTCATGTCATCATCACCATCATCATGCATAAGCAACAATACTTAATAGTCTTAGGGGTCGCCAGGTGCCATGTTGGATCCAGACTGGAGTTTCAATAGCGCCCGCTATGAATCATGGACAACAATTGACAACAACTGTTCTGAAGCAGCAAAGCACGGTCCCCAAGCAAAAGCACTAAAAACTAAACTGCTGCCCTGCATTCCTTACGAGGAACCCCCTCAGCCTGTAATAGCGGCATAATAGGAATATAAGAGGACCCTAGTATAATACTTATTATCCCTTATAGTCACTATTACTGGGTGGGCGGGGGGGTCCACCTCCTAAATCCTAAACCTAAACCCGTAGACCCTAAACCAAGTGCATTCCATTCAACAACAGCAGTGGCGCCTCAAAGTTGGCCCCATAGTCCAGGCTCAGCTTGTAGCCACCAGTGGGCCCCAACAGGCAATCGACAAGGTCGATGAAATTGTCCTTCAGGGCTTAGGGTCTTTTTTGGGGGGTTTAGGGTTTAGGGTTTTTTGGGGTTTAGGCTCAAACTGTACGCACCTGCTATGTGACATGCAGCATACTGCAAAACAGAAGTGTTTACCACTTATCAACGATGATCCTCATAAGTAACCGATATGTTTAGCTTGGTTGTTGCCTACCTAGCTTACAATCCATGAAGCCATGTCCTCTCCAGGCCGCACCTCAGAATGTTGTTTGGCTTGGCCTAAATTACAGTTCCCAAAATGGAGAAATCCATAATTCACAGGAACTCCACTGTTCTGTAGGGACCCTGTCATCATGAATCTAGGCCAATCCCCTTGTGATTTCCAGCCTTGACATGGGACGCCTGTGCTTTCAGACAAGTTGCAACGACGTGGACGGCCGGGTAGCCTCAAACCAGAAGAAAAAACAGCATAACGGAAATGCAGACGGAAAATACTATTCTTTAAAGGGTGTATATAATGATAATATAAGGATAATGGAAAAGAAATGGAAACTGTCATCACAGGCTATCAGCCCCAAAAAACTCATCCCGTTTGCAGGGGGGCTCGCACTCAACCCTAAACCCTAAAACCTCGAACCCCTACCCCCAAAGAAAGGCGTCCTGCCTAGCTTACGGTAGAAGAGCGCCAGCCGGGCAATCCGCGACTCGTGGGCTTTGAACCACCATTCCAGCTCCTCGCAGCGGTCCTGAGCCCAGACCCAATAAAGGACCCAAAAAAGGGTTTAGGGTTCAGGGTGTTTTTTTACCAGGGGACTTTTACGCCTGGACTTTAATCAGTTTAGGGTTCAGGGCTTAAGTTCCCCAATGTAGTAATGGGGGTCATTTTGGGGGGTTCCATTGCTCTGCAGGACTACATGCCAAGTCTGTGTAACTGTGGGACATCTAGGTCTAGGTAATTGTCCGACGCTTGCTCAACATCACCCCGTCCTCTGACAGAGACACCGGGAGCAGGTGAGTATGGGTAGCATGTAGGAACTCGGCCTCGAAGTCTGGCAAATCTCCTTGGAAGCGCTCTTGGGTAACTGCATTCCACTGCATGTAAGAGAAAGCTGAGCAGATGGCGCAGTTGGTGGCGGACCTGTCACAGTTTTATAAGATATTATCTATAGGATATTATGTGTCTCATGCGTTTTAATAAGCTCACCTGGCGATAGATATCGCGCGGCAGCGCCACAGAAGCTCGCAGTTCACCTTAGCTCAGCAACAGGGAAGCCTGCAGGAGCATTATTTCTGCAGAACCACCAGCAACAGCATAAGCAGCTGCTTACGGATTGAAGCAACATGATCTCATCAACTCCAGAAGGTAGTTTCCCAAAATAAGGGGGACCCCAATATAATCCCCAATCTACTATACTCCCTATTACACGGACTCCCAACAACGGTACCCCTAATTTTGGGAAACCTCCAGAACAAGGATCCGTCAAGACGGGTTGTAATCGAGCGTAGCCGGTCAAACAGCTTCGAGTCCTTCCTGATCCGCATGCGCATGTTGTGCGATGCAAAAGGGATTCCTTAGCTGCATGACCGGGACCAGGCTGTATGTGTAGTCCCCCTTAAGTAGATAGAATATGGCTTTGGGCCCATGCATCCCATATTCTATCTACTTAAGGGGGACTATACTCTTAAATGGGGATATCTTGACCCCTCTTCGTAGGTAATAGGCCCTAATGAGTGTGGGTGGAGGGTATCTGTCAGCCAGGTAGCCAAGGTCCAAGTGATTCACCAGCTCACTCAAACTGAAAGCAATTGCCAAGCAAGATGTGTTGACGCCCACCTCATGGGCAGTGGGACGAGACCAGCAAAGCATGAATGTATATTCTGGCTGTACTTGGATTTTACAAGGTTCTACAGAGGCTACACAAGGATTGTTGGGAATATCACCAGCGGAGAATCAAATGAAAAGAGGAAATTGAAACCACCAGGTGCTTCACACTGCCTACCAAACAAGCATGCCAAGCGCGAAGCCTTCTGTTGAGCCTCCTGGCCAATCGAGGTGTTGGCCATTGCCTTCGTGCGATTTTTCCCCAGACTGGACGCGAGAAAACAACAATTTCGTCAACTGAGCACGCAGCACAGAAAGTTGTCTGAGTGTAGGCCCTGACTTGTTGAATCGTTCCCTCAGCACCAGCCTGTCCAGTGAACGATGCGGACTTCAAAATCTTCTGATGCAGTAAGGCCTGCGAATGGCCCAGAATGGCCAGCAGATACCGCAGTCTCTCCTGCCGGAAGCAACTACATCCTGTTCACGCTGTTTTTGACTTTCTTGAAGTGGTGGTTTCCCTGAAAAGGGGACCAGAATACAAACCCCAAAAACTAAAATCACCCCCCCAATATGAAGTACTCCCATGGTGGTATATGGTAATACACTCGGAATATGAAAAAAAAAAAAAGGGAGGTGAGGGGCTTTAATATTGGGGGGAGGGGATTGCTCAACACTGCCTATTGCGGCACTAGAAAGTCTTCCTCAAGGGGATCTTGTCATGCTACCTACATACAAAATCTGCCAAAAGCCACTTACTTGCTGGATCTTGCTGGCTCTTAGTAGGGAATGGAGGAATGGGGCATGGCAGGTTCCGCTTTCTCTTCCTGTCCTTCCTCCCCTACTCCTCAGAACTAGCAGGCTCAAGGAGGTCCTCTGGAATGGTGTGCACCAAGCGCACCTCCTGCCAGGAACCTCACAGTTAAACTGGCGATGAATCCGCAGAGCACGGTTTTGAGGGAGATAGGTACCCATTGGGGCAACATGAGGGTTATATTGCGTGGATATTGGGATAATGGAAAATAAAACGGAATCTACTATTTAGGGTTCAGGGTTTTGGGGTGCTTCTCGAAGTGAGACACCTTTTGGGATTCTTAGGGATGCAATCGGAACACAATGAAGGACAAGGAGGGAGTGTGGGGTCCTAGCAGAGATTTGGTGGGGATCCTGCAGGGATTTAGGGTTTAGGGTTTAGGATAATCTTGAGAAACTCCTCAACACAGGCAGTTGCAGGACAACACAGACTGCTGCAGACCGAGTTGCCGCAGTGGGTGATATTCGGCTGCCCATAAAGGCCAAACCTCGGATACGCCCCCCACCCTAGAACAGTCATGTAGTTCCCCAAATTAGGGTCCCATTCTGGTACCCCTAGATATAGGGTGCCGTAATTAAAACGAAACAGCCATAATCTTGAGAATAAGCCACATGCATGCATGTGTTAAGGGTATCATCTCTCTACACATTGCTACAATTGCATTCTTGGGGGGGCTGCTGTTTCTTCCCGGCCGTCCCTAAAAAAAAAAAGCTGATCCTCATGATGCTGGCCTGCTTGGCCGTCGGTAGGAAAAAACAAGCCCAGCTGATGCTCATGATGCTGGCCTGCTTGGCCGTCCATAGGAAAAACCAAGTCCAGCTGATGCTCATGATGCTGGCCTGCTTGGCTGTCCCTAGGAAAAACCAAATCCAGCTGATGCTCATGATGCTGGCCTGCTTGGCTGTCTCTCGGGAAAACCAAATCCAGCTGATGCTCATGGTGCTGGCCTGCTTGGCCGTCCCTAGGAAGAACCAAGTCCAGCTGATGCTCATGATGCTGGCCTGCTTGGCCG